CGGCTTCCGCGGGCTGCGCCGCTCGCTCGCTCGCTCGCTGCTCGGCCGGGGGCAGCGGGACGCGGGTGCGGATCCCAGGCCCCGCTCGGGCTCGCCGTCGCCTTCACGGCCCGTCCCGCAGCCCCAAGCCGCGGAAGCCCGAGCGGGAGAGAAACAAAAGGTATTTGCTGACGTGGGCGTTGGACAGAGACGCCCGAGGGCTGGGGACACAATTAAAGGGGCAACGCACCGATTGCAGGCGCAGCCCAGCAGCTGCCCCCGCCGGAGCTCGCCCTGCAGCCCGGCTGCTTTCCTCTTCCCACGCCCACATGCTCCCCACGAGGGAACGCGACGCCCTAGATGCCTATTTCCACACCTTTTTGTGTAACTGGGGCCTTAATGACCCAGATCGTTTTTGCATCAGTCCATAGGTTCCTCAGATGGGATTTACTACTCCTGTCTTTCTTCGTATTCTTTTCTCCCCAAAGAAGCCATAGCGCCTCAGAGTCTTCTTTCTAACCCCCTCATCTTCTCCCATTTAAGTTCTGTTGTCTCATGTTCTACTTCTCTTCCCATCATGGCCCTTAATAGGGCTTTGATGTGCCATTTTTTCCCTCAGCAGTTTGTTCTCAGAGGAACCATCCTGCCTGTATCTTGCAAGAACAAAGGATACTCAGTTCCTTATTTTTCACCCCAGCCTGTAACCTAACAATGGTCATGCCTTCCTACTTCCATACCCTACACACAGATGAGAAAATAATAGTTTTTCTCTATTATTTTAAAATTCCTTGGACATGAAATGAAAGCTCCAGCTTTGAGTAAAAGAACTAGAATTTGGATCATGTTTTATGGGAAAGCAGGAACATAGTGCACAAATGTACAATTACTGAATAATATCTGAGTCCACAGAATGTGGTGTTTTGTTGTTTAACAAAGCACAACTTGCAATGCTTTGCATGATTATCTGTGCATACTTTTTGACTTTTTCCATAGGGGATCAAATAAGTAGTCACCTCCTCAGAAAGCCTTGAAGGAAAGCACAGCCCTCCTCATGTTTCTGCTAAAGGTAGCTCAAAGTCCTTTGGATAGCCTAAAGCAGTATGTCTTAGTATTGACTTGAGTTATAGGCAGTCAAGTTACAACGTTTCACACTTGCAACCTTTATAAATTGACACTTCAACTTTCTGACCTCAGTTTTGACTTTACAAGGCTTGATCTGATGCCACACCACGCCAGCAAACAAGTTCGCTGCATCACCCATCTCCCTGGAGAACATCTGTCCAAACTTCCTTGGATGCTGCCTTTAAGAAAGCAGACAACTCCAGAAAAACCTGCAGCCAAGACTCCTGAGAAGACTCCAGCCAAAAACCCTTCAACAAGTCCATCAAAGTCACCTCAAAGAAGTCCTTCCAAATCAATATGATTGCTATTTACAATTGAAATACATTAATGTAGCTATATTACTCATCTATAATTGATTGAGTACAAAATTCTGGGTAATTTTTGGTGAACCAGGGTATCGGGCCTTGGTTCAGGAACCAATCCACCATTTATAACATTGTTTCCTATGGGAAAACCGGTTCCGAGTTACAACATTTCAACTGAAGGCAAAGTTTTCAGGAACCAGTTGTGTCTTAAGTCTGAGGACTGCACGTACTTCTAACAGGGTGCATCTGCACATGCACTTTACTGTGGAGTTGACTGACTAGCTCTGCAGTAAAGTGTCACAGTCTACACGTGCTCCAGTATTAGGGCATAGTACATTAACTAACTGCTGTAGGCTGGTACTGTTGGGGGCAGTCCTATCCCTCAGTGGAGTAATTACATGCATGGAAATGTATGTGTAGGCAGTGACATGGGCTGGCTGGGGCATGAGGGTGCTAAAGTGCAGAGGGCTGCCTGCCACCTAGCTCCACACTTTAGCACCTTTGTGCCCCAGCTATCCCTGACACTGCCACCTCCTGGAGCCCAGGGCTGACTACCCCCCCACCTCCCCAGGCCCCTTGCCAGCCAAGGACTGCTTTGCCACAGCTCAAAGTGCTGCAGACCAGGGCGCACATGCAGATGCTGTGCCCAGGAGCAGTTTTCTCCAGCATGAACTGTGCCAGAATTTATCATGTTGCATTCTTTGCACCCACAGTGTCAGTACCACATCATTCAGGATGAAAACCCTCTGAGTTTCTGTCTTCAGGTTTGACCACTTGAGCACCAAACTGTACAGCAACAGGAGAGCTTAGTGTCATCATACTTTCCAGGGTTCAGAGTTGTAGCACAAGTAGGGTCCCTCCATAGGTAAAAACAGCTTCTTAACTATTGAAGATTTGGAATACATTTCTCCATTCCTTTCTCAATTTGCTCCTGTTAAATTGGCTAAAAGGGCTGTTCTTCATAATCCCCACACTTTCGTACTGAGTAAGGATATTAGACCTCAGGTTTATTATAAACATGCAGAGAAACCATAGAGGATGACACTCAGATTGCTATTTCCTTCCTTGGCTTCCTACCATTTGCCTGTACTCCATATTTGTGGCTCTACTGCGCTCAAGGAAACCCTTGTTATTGAGAACAACCTATGTCCTCTATACCCTCCAGAGGAAGGTTGACTGTTTACTTGAGTTTACCAGATCTCAGGTGGGATAGCAACCTCCCATTCCTACTGTTCAACAATAGGTTCACACTGTAAGGAAGCACAGTCTTCATAAACTTGACTTCCTCCTGCTGCATTATTGTCATTGTCACCCAAAGAAATTGTAGTCGCATCTTTGTAAACAAACATTTCTGAAATGATGACAGAACAGTTCAGGATTGTTTTAAAGTTGTTTTCTGAGAACACCAGAATCTCTGCTGAAAGTTGTGAGGGGGAAAAAATGATAAGTTTCTACAGATATATATTTCTCTGCCAGAGAGAAAAGGAATGCCAGTTAACTAAATTGTTTTAGAATTCTCTCTTGTAAGAAAGAGACTGTAAGAAACAACATCCACTATATCAGTTGCTTTGAGGAGATACTAATCCAGTTCTCAGCATTTTAATTCTTTTATGTGCACCCTGTACCTTGTTCTCCACTTGTAGTCTACTAAATAAAGCTCCATTTCTCACTGCAAAGAAAGGGAGTCAATAACTACAGTCAGATTCCAAATGAGGATCTTGATAATGAAAAGTTCTTCTTTCCAAATAGGACTCCTCCTGTGACATAAGGTTTTGGCATTCCTGGACAAAGTACTACAAGAATGAGAGGCCATTCACTTCAAGAATCTCATTTTAGCACATTCTGTGGCAGTAGCCACTATAAAAATGAGAGATTCATTTTTGTTTCTGAGTTAAATAGTGCTCCCCCTTTACAGGGGAAATATTCAGTTTTTTTTTTTAATTTAATGTGGAATAGGAGAGGATTGTCATCTATGACGCATTACATATTCTTAACATCTCATGAGATTTTAACTTGTTGGATTTGCAGCCTCCTCAGATGAAGAGAATGGTATGGTCAATCTCAATCAAGGCAACCCTCATAATCTTCTATCGAGCATGTCAGGCCTTCTGAAACACAAAGGCTGTAGCTATCTGCTTCAGCCAGAACCACTGCTGTGCAGCCATTGCCATCCAGTAGACAGCAAGTTAGATGGTTCTGTTAAGAGCTGTTCCTGGTTAATCACCGTGGATCTTTTTTGTTTCTTATTCCTTTCAGACTATCATATTTTTGGAAGACTGAAACAATGTCATCTGGACTCACTGTTCTATTCAGTTCCAATCTGCTTCTTCCCTAAACATTTGCTTTCCCCATCCCTTTTCAGGGACCCGCCACACAAAGATCCTACCACAAGAAGTTATTATTCTGTTGTTTCCCACAGCCATATAATTCAGGAGAAAGAGCTTTCATCATTTTCTACTCAGTCTTTAAAGAGAAAGAAGATGAAGAACTGTTTTGGATTTAGATTAAAGTATTTTCAGTTGACACCACAAGTTTAGGAATGCCATCCCTATCCTGAGTAATCTATTCCCCAGATTTACAAAATTGGTTCACTCACACCTCTTGAACTTCAAGATGCACATCCACATCATGGATTTCAGTCCATGAAGTTCATAGGAGATTTTTTAGTGGCAATACAAAACATGTTTGATAAAGAGTTCTTCCATTAAACTCATGAACAGTCCCAAAGGTGTTTGTGAAACATGTGGCAGTTGTTGTGGTGTCCTTCACAACAGGACACTGGAGTTTACCTTTCCTCAATCATAGGATGATTCTCTGTATGGCTTCTCAACAAGTTTCTTTGTTACATTTGCCAGCAACTTGTCAACGTGGGGCTCAGAATAAAGAAAAAGATTCCTCTGTTGATTCTATCACAAGAAATCTTACAGGAACTCTTCTGAACTCCATCATAGCATATCTACCTTGACACAGATTTGTGACCATGACATGCACTATAACTCACAGCAGGACAACCCTCACACAGCAAGAACATGGCTGAGAGTTATGAGTGTGGTTTCATGCATATTCATTACTCATGCAAGCTTTGATCTGTGCAAGGCTGGCTGAAGCTTATTTACACTCCACTCCATCCCAGTGAGGATTTTTAAATGTGTGCTTTCTTCACTGATGGAAAAAATCCTTGCAAGAATGTCTTATTTGCGCTTCTTTGCATTATTACCTTTAGTGGTCAAAACTGAGGAGCACCCTGAGATGATAATTTAACTCAAGGTTTGCAATCAGA